ACTACTCTGTTAGACACCTGTCTCCTTTCATGGAATCTCAGGTCCCACCAGGTTGTCTCTCTCACTGCTTGTTGGGTCTCCAAGAGTGACTTTTTCAAGTAAGAGGAAATGAAAGTCACCAATCTCTTAAGGCCTGACCCAAAAACTAGAAAAGTAAATAGTATAGCCCTGTTTCTAGGAGTCAAAGCAGTTCATAGCAGACCCACATTCAGGAGGAGCAACATAAATCCTAACTCTGAAGGAGAGCAATGTCTAAGAATTTGTCACCATTTTTAATCTGTCACATCTCATTACAGTGGTCTGCATCAACAGAGTTTACAGAAAGTTCCATAAAGAGTCAAGAATCAAACCAACTTCCCATAGAATAGGGAACCCATCTTGAGAAGTTTGTAAACTGAGAGCCTGGCAGCATGCTGTCCACGTTTACAAATGTTCTCATTCATGACAGTCATTGGAATCTGCACAGCAGTATTTTTTAGAGATCAAAATATTTGGGGTCGAACACATTAACTTGTTCCCAGCTGTAGAGTTCGCGTAAGAACTGGAACTTGAGGCCAGTCCTATCAGGCAGCAGAACTTTCTTCAATCAGTCCTTCAGCGGAGACTTTGCATCATATTTGCCCCACACCATTTCCTAAATAACCAGCAGGCTTCATTCTTCCTCGAGCAGGAGGACATTTGTACCTATGGAAGGAGTCCTCTGAAAATAAATGCATGCCATTTTCTCTACCTGCAGAAGACTAGGCAGAGGTCATTTCCTCTCAGTCTCAGACACAGGTGTCCCTGTCTGTGGTGCATGCAGGTACCTCCAAGCAGTGAGGGCCTGCTGCCTCCCACTCCCTTTCCATTCCCAGGAGACAGGTGGCTTCCTACCTGGGCAAACTCAGGGTCTGCGGAGGAGGTGGTACACAAGGTCACTCAATGGGATGTTCAATGGATTTGATGCTTGCACCTCTGATTTGGTAGTAAAGAACTATATTAACCTTCTAGGCTTCCCTGGTTAAGAGGAAAAAGATGACAAAAGTAACTTGATAGCATTATTGTAGTATTAATTTTTATCAGATAAGAATTGCTTTGAGTGTGAGAGCAGAGGGATGGCTTTCCTGATCTTTTTTCAATGATTCACTGGCAAGGATGGATGCATTACTGTGATTGACTGACTCTAATCTCTGGAATGGATATTCAGAAGACAGCTACAGGGACTGCTCTACTTCTCCTTCATGGTACTGAGGCTAAAGTGAGGTGCCCACACATTACAAGGTCTTCGGTGAAAGTCTGCAATGTCATCAAGGAGTAGCTGTATGGAAACACATCCACAATGTCACTGGAACCAAGATAAAGATAATACAATTTACTCTCTGGAAGGAATGGATGCATTGAATCAGATAGATCTCACTCCTATAGAATTTTGCAAGCTTGGCTAAAATCCATTTCAGTCTTAAGATACAGAATGTTTCAACCAATTATTTGTGTCATGTATGGTGACTGTTAAATACTTTTTAAAAATTCTTTATTTCAATTCAATGTAGTTAATATATACTGTATTATTAGTTTTAGGGGTAGAATTTAGTGATTCATCAGTGTTCTGTAATACCAAGTGCTCATTACATTAAGCGCCCTCCTTAATGTCCATCACCCATTTACCCTATCCATCCAGACACCTCTCCTCCAGCAACCCTCTGTTTGTTTCCTAGAGTTCAGTGTCTCTTATAGTTTGTATCCTTCTCTTTTTACATCTTATTTTATTTTTCCATTCCTTCCTGTATGTTCATCTATTCTGTTTCTTAAATTCTACATATGAGTGAAATCATATACTATTTGGCTTTATGCTTAGCATAACACCCTATAGTTCCATCTTCATCCTTGCAAATGGCAGATTACATTCTTTTTGATGGATGGATAATATTCCATTATATATGTATATATATACCACATGTTCATTATCCATTCATCTGTCTATGGACATCTGGGGTCTTTCCAGAGTTTGACTATTGTGGACATTGCTGCAATAAACATTGAGGTGCATGTGCCCCTTTGAATCACTATGTTTGTGTCTCTGGGGTAAATCCCTAGTAGTGCCATTTCTGGGTCATAGGATGGCTCTATTTTTAACTTTTTGCAGACCTCCATACTATTTTCCGAGTGACTGTACCAGCTTGTATTCCCAACAACAGCATAAGAGGGTTCCCTTTTCTCCACATCCTCACCAACATCTGTTGTTTCCTAAATTTAGACATTCTGATGGGTGTGAGGTCATATTTCATTGTGATTTTGATTTGTATTTCCCTGATGCCCTATTATATGGAGCATTTTTTCATGTGTCTGCTGGCCATTTGTATTTGTTCTTTGGATAAATGTCTGTTGATGTCTTCTGCCCATTTCTTGACTGGATTTTTATTGTTTGGGTGTTGAATTTGATAAGATCTTTACAGATTTTGGATACTAGCCCTTTATCTGGTAAGACATTTGCAAATATCTTCTCCCATTCTGTAGGTTGTCTTTTCATTTTAATGACTATTTTCTTTGCTGTGCAGAAGCTTTTTATCTTGATGAAGTCCCAATAGTTCATTTTTGCCTTTGTTTCTCTTGCCTTTGGAGATGTGTCTAGCAAGAATTTTCTGTGGCTAAGGTCAAAGAGGTTGTTGCCTGTATCTTCCTTTAGGATTTTGATGGATCACTGTATCACATTTAGGTCTTTCATCCATTTTGAATTTATTTTTGTGTATGGTATAAGAAAATGGCCCAGTTTCATTCTTCTGCATGTGGCTGTCCAATTTTCCTAAACCAGTTGTTGAAGAGACTGTCTTTTTTCCATTGGGTATTCTTTTGTGCTTTGTCAGAGATTAGTTGACCATAGAGTTGAGGATCTGTTTCTGGAATCTCTATTCTGTTCCATTGATCTATGTGTCTGTTTTTGTGCCAGTACCATACTTTCTGGATGATTATAGTTTTGTAATATAGCTTGAAGTCTGGAATTGTGATGTAGCCAACTTTGGTTTTCTTTTTCAATGTTCCTCTGGCTATTCGGGGTCTTTTCCAGTGCCATACAAATTTTAGGATTATTTGCTCCAGCTCTGTGAAAAAATGTTCATGGTATTTTGATAGGGATTGCATTGAATGTATAGATTGCTTTGGGTAGCATAGACATTTTAACAATATTTGTTCTTCCAATCCATGAGCATGAAAATTTTTTCCATTTCTTTGTGTCTCCCTCAGTTTCTTTCATAAGTGTTCTACAGTTTTCAGAGTATAGATCCTTTACCTCATTGGTTAGGTTTATTCCTAGGTATCTTATTGGTTTTGGTGCAGTTGTAAATGGATCAAATCCTTGATTTTTCTTTCTTCTGCATCATTGTTAGTGTATAGAAATACAACTGTCTTCTGTGCATTGATTTTATATCCTTTGACTTTGCTGAGTTGCTGTATGAGTTCTAGCAACTTTTGGGTGGAGTCTTTTGGGTTTTCTACATAGAATATCATGTCATCTGTGAGGAGAGAGAGTTTGACTTCTTCTTTGCCTATTTAGATGTTTTTTGTATAGTTTTCTTGTCTGATTGCTGAGGCTAAGACTTCTGGTACTGTGTTGAAAAACAGCAGTGATAGTGGGCATCGCTGTTGTGTTCCTGACCTTAGGGGAAAAGGTCTCAGGTTTTCTCTGTTGAGGATGATATTCACAGTGGGTTTTTCATATATGACTTTATGATATTGAGGTATATTCACTCTATCCCTACATAGCAGAGAGTTTTTATCAAGAAAGAATGCTGTATTTTGTCCACTGCTTTTTCTGCATCTATTAAGAGGATCATAAGTTTCTTTTCCTTTTTTTTATTAATGTGGTATATCACATTTGTGATTTGTGGATGTTGAACTACCCTTGCAGCCCAAGAATAAATCCTACTTGATTGTGGTGAATACTCCTTTTAATGTACTGTTGGATCCTATTAACGAGTATCTTGGTGAGAATATTTGCATCCATGTTCATCAGGGATATTACAGGGTCTGTAATTCTCCTTTTCAGTGAGGTCTTTGGATTGGGGATCAAGGTCATGCTTGCTTCCTAAAATCAGTTTAGAAGTTTTCATTCCATTTCTGTTTTTTGAAACAATTTCAGCAGAACAGGTATTAATTCTTCTTTAAATGTCTGGTAGAATTCTGCTGGGAGGACATCCCACCCTGGATTCCTTTTTTATTGGGAGATTTTTGATCACTGGTTCAATTTCTTTGCTAGCTATGAGTCTGTTCAGGTTTTCTATTTCTTCCTGTTTCAGTTTTGATAGTTTATATGTTTCTAGGAATACATCTGTTTCTTCCAGTTGCCTAATTTGTTGGCATATAATTGCTCATATTATTCTCTTAAAATTGTTTGTAGTTTTTTGGCATTGGTTGTCATCTCTCCTCTTTCATTTATGGTTTTATTTATTTGTTTTCTTTCTCTTTTCCTTTTGATAAGTCTGGTTAGGGATTTATCGTTCTTATTAATTCTTTCAAAGAACCAGCTCCTAGTTTCCTTGATCTGTTCTACTATTTTTTTAAAATTTCTGTATCATTGATTTCTGATCTAATCTTTATTATTTCTCTGCTCCTGCTGGATTTAGGCTTTATTTGCTATTCTTTCTCCAGCTCCTTTAGGTGTAAGGTTAGGTTGTGTATTTGAGATATTTCTTCTTTCTTGAGGAAGCCTTGTATTGCTATATACTTCCCTCTTTGGACCACCTTTGCTGTATTCCCAAAGGTTTTGAACTGCCATGTTTTCATTTTCATTTGTTTCCATGTATTTTTTAAATTCTTTTTTAGTTTCCTGTTTGACCCATTTCATTCTTTAGTAGGATGATCTTTAGGTATTTGTGGTCCTTCCAAGTTATTTCTTGTAGTTGACTTCAAGCTTTAAAGCATTGTGCCTGAAAAGATGCATGGTATAATCTCAATCTTTTTGTACTGCTTGAGACCTGATTTGTGACCCAGTATGTGATCTGCTCTGAAGAAAGTTCCATGTGCATTAAAAAAATATGGAATGCTTCAGGAATTTGCATGTCATTCTTTCATAGGGGCCATGCTAATCTTTTCCATACTGTTACAGTTTTAGTAAATGTGCTACCAAAGTGAGCACTGTTGTATCCTTTTTAACTGTTAAATTTTCTGAATATTGTATCTAAAATATTAAGAGACCATCTTGTCTATTTTTTGTTTTAAACCCTGTTTTTGTTTTTGTTCATCTTTGTTTTGTCAAATAATAGTTTAATTCAAAGCAAACAGCCAGAGAAGAGTAAATTGCAGTTTTTTCCTTCCCTTGAATTAAATTATAAGTGGGGTGAATTTTCAAGTGTTTGCCCTGGTATTTGACCTTCAGTAACTATAAAGCAGATACTGAAACATTAAATCATGTGTAAAAACAGTTTATACAAATGACAAAGAAATTTATACCAAATGATACATTTGGAAGTGGAGACTTTCCTGTTGATGTTGGAGTTTAAGTCCTGTCAGGAAGATATCACCTGACCTTGGCCTTTCTTTTCCATATCCTGGAATCAATTCTGTTATGACATCATTAGTTGTGCAGCAAAAACTGCTAAGCTTTGGGGTGAACTCTGTATACTACATGCCAAAGGAATTTCATATGTTTTGTAATTGGAGTTTAGTGAAGAAAGATTTTATTTCATTATTTTCTTAATTTTATCATCATAAAACAAATAAATGCTTCCATATCACTAAAGAGTCAACACTAGGTAGGAAATTTTAAGACACTTTGAAAGGCAGGTTTGTATTATATTTTGTAGTTTGTAGTATATTATTAATGAAGCCAAAGAATTTCCTAAATCCTTATACTTTTACCAATTTTCCTTCACCTGGAGAAAGTGAGGTTAATAAGCTCTTATGACTTGTTCCCCAACATTGGCTGTTTCCCTCATTTGCCATAAGGGAGTTTAGAGAGTGAGCATTTGCTAACACACACCATTAGTCTTGGTCACACAGGATTAACTGGGTGCTTAGGACAAACAATATACAAGTAAAAGTTTTGCTAATTTTGATATTTGCAGGGTATTAGAAAAATGGCAACATATAGGTGATTCTATAGATTAAAAGGTAGGTTGACTGTTTAACAACTTGAGTCATAAATATTCAGTATCATTAACTTATTACCAATGAGAAGTGCTTTATAAAATATAATCTGAACAACAATGTGTTTTAGGTCTAAGTGACTGGTTTTATATTTTCATTAATGAATACTGAATCCTTGCTTTAAGGGATATTCATAGTTCTGATTTTGTTATCTTTCCATGATCAAAGAAGGAAGTTTATATCTTTTGTTTCCTATTTTCTATGGAGAAAAGAAAGACATTTTTAAAAAGATTCCATAAACCCTTATAAGCTGCATAGGAAAAATCTTCATCACCGTCAATCTCAATATAGTTGAATAACTATAAATTGGAGGTGACAGTATATTCCTCTAGAGTTTTTTGGTAAATAAAATGAAATATGCCCAGAGATAAAGTGCTTAGAACAGCTTATGGAGCAAAGTAGTAACAATTATTAAATTATTAAAATAACAACCATTCTTTTTGTTACATTATGTGTTCTCTTATTTGAATATACATTATGTATTATCCTCTTATCTTCTTATTTTAGGAGAATTAAGACTGGTTTTAGTACCATATGCAGAAATTCTTCTCCTTTGCAGTCTGTGTCTTTTTATCTGTGAACTGTGTAGTAATGACATTTGCATGAGAACCAGAACCAGAACTCTTAAAGCCAGGTTGATGCCCCAACCCCCACCCCTCAAACATACTTATACAACACAAGCTAGACTGTTTTGCAGTAGCAAAGACATCAACATTTCAGGGGTTTCACAAGACGGTAGTTTAGCTCTTGCTCCCACAAAGTCCACTGTAGATTCTACAGAAGCTGTAAGCCATACGCTGTGAGTCAACAGCCAAGCTACTCTGATGTCATTGTTGTCTTTCACAATGGTGCTAACTCACTGTATCACGATCAATTATTACCATCTCTTCCCAACGTCTAGTTCAGTAGTTTAATGTTAGTAGCTTGAAATCCTATTCATTTACACCTCAGAAATCAGCAAAAGCTACTAGAGTTGTGTTTTCTTGTTTCAGAAAGCTGGTTGCTGAACATTTATAATACCCTTTACGTTAATAACCACTTTCATGAGCTTCCTTGCAAGTAAGATCATGGAAATTCCCAAACTGGCTTTTGAGTACTTCCAGCTAGAATATAAATGAATATAAATGATTCAAATAAGTAGAGAAAGTAGATGGGGTGAATAGGGAAGGCCTTTCTGCAAGGAACGAAATTTAAATAAAGAGGCAGTCCATGTGGCCAAAGGGGAAACAGCAAATACAAAGACTCTGAAGTATGTTTGAGAAACAGTGGGGAGGTGGCATGGTTGGAAAATTATTTGAAGAGTGGTCAAAGATGAAGTCAGAGAAGTAGCCAAGAGTTAGTTCCTGTAGGGTTTTGTGTGCCACGTAAGAAATCTGGACCTTATTCTAAGTGAAATGAATATCCACCGACAGTGTTGAGAAGGGCAATGACATTATGTGACTGCAGATTTTAACCGCCACTTATAGCTGTCCTTTTAAAAAATGATGTCTCTGTTTCTGGATGAAGCAATGGCAGGATGGTAAGTATGATTTCCTGAGCAGCAAGCACTATAGGGAGAAAAGGGCTTCGAGGGCACAAGTGCAGGAAATTCACAAGCTCAGTTCTTTGTACCTGTCAGACCAGGATCTGAGTGTTGTGCAGAAATAGGAAACTATAAGATATGTTGATATATTTTATTCATATATGTTGACCTACTTTAGTTTGAGTAATACATTGTGATGAGAATAGAAAATAGAAAGATGTTGAACATTTGTGTGAGGGGCAAGATTTGTATGCAGTATATTTAAGACAATTTCCTACAGTGACCTTCACAGAAAAGGAAAAAGATTGAAACCAATAAGCTTGGAAACTCAGTGCTTCTGGGGCCATTCAATCAGGATAATAGACTATTTCAGATATGTCCTTGAATAAGTGTGCAGAATGATTCACTTTGTGAAAGAATGCATCCACAACTGAGGTTTGGGCTCTGACTAGTATGCTTTCTCAGATTCACCTCAAAGAATATTTTCTCTCATTAAAAATTTTTTTTCTTCCAGGTGCCATCACTTAATCTTTCCATTTGTCTGAATTTTATTTATGAAATTCTTTTAAAACTTTGTCTATGGACCATTTTTTAAAAATTCAGTGCATTAGTGGGCAAAATATGGACAGTTCCTGTTCATCCCAATACAATATTTTATTGGTGCTTCTCTTCTACCAGATCATTAGACATTTTTGATGCTTTCATAATCACACAACTTACTGGACTGTTATAAATTTCTATTTTCCCAGACACTTCTGGGGATATTCTCAAGGTTTGTTTTCATTTGTTATATTTGAGTATGATGGACGGGCCCAAGGTTATTATCTGTAGTTATGCATAACTGAAGACAATTTTGAATGATTTAGTTTTCAGAGTTTCTAAACACTGAACTTATCATTCTCTTTGTGGTGAAGGAGGGTAGCACAGCCCTTCACTTGCCTGTAGCTTGGCCTCTGTGCACAGATGGAGCTCAGAACCCAATATGGCCATCTTCTTGAAGGGCCACAGCCCTCACTCATGTTCTCAGTGGTGGGGAAGCTTGTGCGCCAGAGGATACTGGATGTTGTTGGAGGCTTGTGTTCATTTTCCATTTTTCTCTTCATTCTTGTCTTTTGATTCAAATACTATCTTTTCTATCTATGAGTTTTTGTTTTGCAGTACAAATTAAAAAGAATAATGGATATTAGAGTTGTTTTATTAGTAAATGTTAACATAATCAAAGAAATAATAAGCTGACATTAATTCATTAATTCTAAGCACCTTTAATGCTATATTAAATTTAATGCTATATTATATATTGTGAAATCAACCCTATGAAATGAGTACAATGAATATTAGTATATTGTAAATACTATAATGCAGGCATAAAGTTAAATTTGTTATAGATCACATAGGTGATATATTGAGGAGTCCTCGTTTGAGCTCAGGAAATTTGAAGCTAAAACTCATTTCTTAGCCATCAGCATTCAGTGTTTGCTTTAGTCTCTGCTGTGCTGGGATGCATATCAGACACAGGTATAAAACCAACTATGTGTCATATTATGAGAAATCTGACAACATATAAAAACTAAGAAGTCATGTTTTCCCAACCTGCTTCTTCCATCAACTGCCATACCAGCATTTAGGCAGAAGAGTATATTTTCTCACTCTAAAATCAATACAATGGCTGATTCTTCCATTAAAGTAACTCTTCTTCGATTTCAGTAACATCTAGAAACCACACTCATTCCTCTACCTCTGCCCCTAGTAGGCTTCCCCAGAATTCATACTGTCCTTTCACACTCTCTCTATCTTGCTTTAGTTTGAGAAAAACAACAGCAAGGCTCAGTCAGTAAAGTGTCTGACTTCAGGTCAGATCATGATCTCAAGGTCCTAGGATCAAGTCCTGTGTTGGGCTCCCTGCTCAGCCTGGAGTCTGCTTCTCCTTCTCCCTCTCCTTCTACTCATGCTCTCTCTATGTCAAATAAGTAAATAAAATCTTTAAAATAATAACAATAATAAACAGCAAGCCCAACAAACTAAAAATGTCTTGGCACAACCAGTTGTGCGTTGCTATGATGAGGAGCTGGCCTCCCAGTTTGGTCTCACTGTTGGGTTGAACATAAACAATTCACAGAACAGCAGCTGAATATAACCATGTGTTATTAAATCATATATATTTTAAATTCCTGTACTCAGGAATCCCTGAACAAGAAATGCAGCTGAAAGTGAGCCCTGAGAATGTGCAGGGAAAATAGAAGACAGGGTCTCCTTTCCATAGACGTCAGGGATGGTGTTTTTGTCTCTCACTCAATAATGTTACTAGCCCTAAAGCTAAATAATTGTATGTATCGAGCTTTATTATCTGCCTCCTTTCACTCAGATATCCATGTTGGTCTCGTCAGCTATAACCAAAGGGTGTTAAGTCACGTAGGACAGGTGAACTCCAGAGAAGATATTTGTGAGTGAGTTCCCTGCCTTACAAAGTA